TGTATGTTTTTCAGTGTAATTTATCATTTGGTTGCATTTGAATCAATATATCACATTTTGATCAGTTAATTGCCCTACTTCTGCTGCCATCCAGGACTGCTGCTGCAGTGTTCTTTCTCACACAGTTTGCAGACTTTCAGCAGGACAAGCCTTAAGTTATGTAGACTCAGTCTTTTAAAGTATGTAGGCATTTTCCAGCATACAACGATCAAACATAGGTGAATATAGAGAATAAACGTCACTCAAATTTTAAAGATAGCATTTGTATTCACACTGGAAACAGGTTCTCGGATATGATTAAAGAGCTGGCCAATACAAGCATGTGTGGCCAGAGCTGAAATGTCTGAAACTTTGAGAGGGTAATTGCAATAAACTGTCCATCACACATCCATAGAAAATTGAATTAATTTGGGAAATTTTTCTAAGAGTAGTATTGAATAGTCAGTGAATTCAAATAAATTGTTCTGGTTTCAGATGACTGCAAGAGAAAAGTGCAGAACTGTGGTGCTTTACCAGTTTCTTGTCATGAACATCTCTGTGCTGAAACTACAGAAACATCATTTCCCTGGTTTTTTTTCACATTCATTCACTTAAATGGTTGAGGCAGATTCCAGTGTATTTTACTGAAAATTCTACTGAGAAGATGGAATCATGTTTATTTTTTAACTGTTTAGAAAATAGAGGAGGTAGTTAGATGTCCTTTCCAGACATCCTACAGCTCAGCAAGGAGGTAGTTTTGTAAAAGTCCATCAAGTAGCAAAGCAGCTGTGGTCACACAAAACTTCTCAAAAGATAGCTTACCTAACTGAAGAGGTACAATGTAGACAAATGGCTTTTGGGACTTGAGCTCTCAGATGACATTGACCTAAGTGTCTCTAAGCTATGGCCATGTGTGTCTTGCCATACCCTGTGGTCACTAAACCTCTGCTGGTATTTTGTGTGATGTGTAGGGCTCTTCATGCCCTGGCCAGTAGCCAGTATGGCTCAGGGCTTAGACCCATGTGAAGCTCTGTGGTTTTTGCTCACTGACTTTTGTTTGTTTTGATTTGAGTCCATAAGGTTTGCACGCTTGAGGTTCACTTTGAGGTTTCAAGTTCAGTGAAACGTCAAGTTTTGCCTGGCTTTTGGGTTGAAACCTCAAGCCTAACGATAATTCTTTCTACATAGGCAGATTACAGAGAGAAAGGTCATTTAAAATTGAACCCCAAAGCCTGATTCTTGCTGAGAACCATAAAATATTCAACTGGACTGTTCCTTACAATTATATGTTTCCATCAAATTAGCAACACCACATTTTACTGATATATACACAAATGTGTTATTGGCATTCTACTCTAATTGAAAACATAGCATTTCTCCAAGTTTTTGTTATTTTTCAGTTCCTGCTTCCTAGGTGGCACTGTTTTGTGCTATTTAGGGGTGGCAATTTTTGAGTATAATAAAGAAAAACTTAAATTTATGCTTGGTTCTGTTTTTTCTTCTCAGTCTCTGCAGCGCCTGTGCTGTGCTGAATCAAGGTGAAGTTCTGCCTCCTTTGACTTCAGGAAGTAAGACCCAAAGTGGCGCTTTTCCCAAAAGGAAAAGCTGACACCTTAAATGTTTCATTTTCCAAAACCAAAGTTTTGTTTTCAGTGACGTTCAAAACATCACACTTGCAGGGATCCATGTTTCATTGGAGCACTGTACCAAGCAGAAAATTAACCATATAAAGAAGTATTTGGTTTAACAGCATCTGAAAATTACTACACAAAATTCAGTAGCCTTTAAGCTCTCATGAAGTGAGATTATTTTGGGCTCTCTGTATATTGCTCTGATTCTTCATGTTCATCTAGTGTCTACTCAGCTGCTGAGTCTTTGCTCTGAAGCCTGTCCCCTGTGGACAGTTACATCAAATCCAACATAGCTCATGTATCCCTAAGGCAGCACAAAGCCACACTAATATGGAGCAGGATCTGCGATCAAATGTTTGAGAAGCAATCCTGGGAAAATTTTTATTGATGACTTGTCAAGGCAGCATCCAAAACAATCCCAGTTCTTTCCATGTGTTTCAGCCCAAAAGCTTTCATGTCAACACAGACAGTAATGATCTCAACCCAAAATTCTTGCCTGTACCTTCAGCTGTTCTGTTTGGACGACTTCCAAGTTCTCCGTTCTCTGGAGGGGAGAAAATATGCTCTGGAGCTAAACTGAGAAGGTCACATTAGACAGGTAATTTAGAGCCTGCTACTGAATTACTTGGAGAGCTAACAACATCTAACAGAGTAAAGTACCTGTGTTAGATATTTGAAGAGGGAAGAAAGGTTGTAACCCATGATTATTGGGGAGTTTATCTGAAATATAAGAATTAGAGTTGCAAGCTGTGTGCATAAGTCAGTCTCTCACATAAAGCCTTTCTTTTGCATTTCTGAGGGAATTGTGACTGGTCTTTCTCTTTGCAATTCTTGCCTCTTCCTCTTCCTCACTCTTCATTGACATCTAACATGATGTGTATCCCTGGATCTTCCTTAAAGATACATACATTGTGTGCTTGCATAGGTGGTTTTTCACAAGATTGTGGATATATATTTGTAGATACTCTAGGACCCATTTTCCATGTCTGATTGAAAAAATATGTCTTGTTTATTCTGAATAAATCCACATCCTCCATGTTGGTTCAGCCCTGATTCTGGCTTCTGAGTGTAATTTAGGTTTCATATGCAGGGGATCTTTGGGTTTTCTCCTGTTTCTTATGGGTAACTTGTGGTAGAACACTGGAATTGTTATCAGGATGTTCACTAGCATTTTAGTGCTTTGGTTAATAGTTGAAATGGAAGCATCTGGAGATAAAATGATAACCATGTGGTAACAATTTGGAGGTGCTACTAATCTGAGCTGAACTTGGTTAAATTAATATGAAAAGTCCCTTCGTCCCTTGGCGCCCTCCCTGTGCTTTCAGTGGCAGGTCTAGGAAAATGTGTGCAATTCAGTAGTACAGTAGGTGGAGGCTGCCTATATAAGAAATGCAAGATGAACATTTATTTTCTGCATTTAGTTTCCCAGGGAAGGAGGTCAGCACTGGAAGAGGTTATGGAATCTCCACCTCAGAGTTTCCAGGATGAAGTTGCCTCTGACCTGATTTAGTGTTGATGATATCCAGGGGTTTCACTGAGTTACCTCCAGATGACCCTTCCAACATATCCCTAAGTCAGAACAGATAAATGAGCTACTGGTATCAAGTAGGAAAGACCATCGACTCACAGAGTTACAAACTGCTGCAGCTGTGTCTTAGAAACTGAGACACAGACTAGAAGCCATTCAGAGCCATGCTGTTATAATTGTTATACGTTAAAAACAATGGGATTGGTCTCCAGGACAGCTCCTTTCATCTTGTAATCCAAAGTCCTGAAGATACATATATTGCTGGACTCGGTTCCTGCCTCAGTAATGTTTATATTTTGGACTGAAAAAGTAATCCATAACCTGGATTCACCATATTAGCTGACATAGCATCTGAAATACAGTATTATATTGAAAAGCTACAGTCAGAGTTTGGGTATACCTCTACTGTTTTCCATCAAAGATTTACCAGTGCTGATATTATTAACCCCACAGGTGAAAATGCCCTCAGATGACTGTGGTAATGTTGTGATTTCTGTACATGCAGTCCTGCGCCTCTCCTAAACACTAGCAATATTGCTGAGGCTGAATGCTACTACTGGATTTTACGTGGAATTTAGGCAATTCCTAGGCGCAGCCCATTGCAAACCCTATTTCTGAGAGGAGCCAATGGGAACAAGCTACAACTGCCTTTTGCAAATTTTTGCAATCTGCTATTGCGTGAACAGTTGGGAAGGTTGAAATCAGCACAAAAGAGCACCTGGGTTTTGCTCCGATTGCGCTTTCCTGTGTAAGGGTTAAGCATGTCTCTTCTGGGGGAATTCTGTGCTTCATCACCATTATGTAACTTCAGAGATTGAAATGGGATCCTGTGCAAAGCAGCTGTGTGGATTCACGGCAGCTCTCTTCCTGTATTTCCCCGACACCGTGTTCAGTTTCAGTGGTAAGAGCCAGGGAGCGCAGCGTTGTGAGGTGGTGCCCAGCTTTTGCAAACAAAGGGGACGGAAGAATCTGTGCCACCTGCTCTGTCACTTGAACAAATGTTAGGCATAAAACAAGCTACAAACCACTAACTGCTTGTTGGATGATAACTTTGTGATCAGCAATTCCATCGATCATCAAGGTCAGCTTCTCTGCTTTTGTTTCTCGAGCGAACCAGTCCCTCGGTTCCATGCTCCTAAAGGCAAGATGGTAAAGCAGCCAAAGATGTTAACTGCTTGGTGCCCTGGCAGTAAACAGCAGTGCAGAGCTGCACACTCTCACTCGGCAGCTGACAGAGGTGTCCAGATGTTTCTGCATTAAACAGGGTGGCACAACACCTCTGCAGGAATTGGCAGGCAGGAATGTTTGCTTCTTGGCTTGGACTGAAAGCTTTTGAGTCGGCAATGTGAGGAAAATGTTGCCACCATCCGCAAACCAGAGAGAGCTCTGTTGTGTCCATACATGAAAAAGAGGAAAAAACTCTCCTGCTCATTTTTTTTCCTGATTATTTTGTGGACAGTGAATTTACTAAAATTACCGGTTAAGGAAATGGTGAATGCCTCTGTGTTTCTTGCTGTAGTCACTCATTGAGTGTGGGGCTGAGTGGGAAAAGGAGTAGTCTTGGCAAACGGCTTATTAGTCTGAAATAAATTATTCAGAATGCAGGTTTGGATACAGATTGCAGGGAACGATAATGGAGATGGTTTTCTGAGTCTGTTCATGATAGGCAGACATGGAGTACGCTTTTCAGGAATTCACTTAAGTGCAATCAGTTTAGAATAATGTAGCCTGGAAGTAATATTGCTGCCATCCAGCTAGTGTCTGTGGAACAGCATTCTCCTGCCTTCTGAAGCATTGGCATTGAAGATGGATAGATATGGAGATATTTCTATTTTGAGCTGCTGCCTTTTAAAATTTTTTAATTTTTTTTTAAAGGGAAATTCATGCTCACCACTAGAGAGGGGCATGTTTTGGTTGAGATATTCCCCCCCCTCCGAGTGAAATACTGGACCACATCAGCATCCGATTTGGGTGCGTCATGTGGTTTCTCATGTGATGCTGGTCTCACTGCGCTTTGGAGAGTGAGCCTTTGTGACTCCGCACTCTTGGACAGTAGCATCCAGCAACATAGGATACTTTGGGGAGGGAAAGGAAAAGAGGCAGCCTCCCAGAAATGCCCGAAAGCCCAGAAAAATAAAGTTACGACAATTTGTTATAGTTATTGTTTCTTCTTAACTGTTTTGGCTTTTATTTTTAATTCTGGGTCTTCCCTTTTCTCCGTTCCTGCAGGCAGAAAGCTGCACCGTTCGGAAGAAGCAAGGCAGTCTTTCCTCACAGCTACGATGCTGCACCGCTTTCGACAGAACCTGCTTTTCCCTCCATTTACCTGGGCGGCTGCTGCTCCTTCTGCTGCTGCTGGGGCTGCTGCAGTCCTGCTGCCTGCACTTCACCCTGGCTTGGCTGGCTCGAAACTCTCTCGTCTGCACATTGCTAAGGAAGAAGAGCGATGGAGCTGCGGATTTTTTTTATTGGTTCTGGAAGCCAAAGGTTGCAATATGTGATGATTTTGGGGTTTTCTGTGGCAGGGCGGAGGGAGGAGAAAGGAAGGGTGTTAATCTAGGATAGGGTGGGTGAAAGCTTAAAGAAATATTATGTAAAGTAATCCAGTGCTCGACAAGGGCATCAGCAACGAGAATCCAGCCTCTGCTGCTCCAGAGGATTAACATGGGGAAGTCACAGCGCTGCAGTCGGGTTTCACTTCAGTGTTCTGCTGGAGATGGATAAATAAGGTATCGGTTGCATCTGCCTGTTAAGGCAAAGCCAAGGGAGAAGGAGAGAGCGAGCGAATGCAAATGCGAAGGAAGAAGAAACACTCTGTGCCATTTGTCTGATTCTGTGGATTCTCACTGCAGAGAGGATGGCTTGATTAACAAAGCAATGTATGGACGGAGGGACTGTAAATTGTAGCTTGAGCATTCCTGGTGCTGACAGGGAGTGAACTGATGAGTTAGGTGGCTGCAGGAGTATCCCCAGGGAAAACAGCAGCCTCCCACTCTGTGTGTATAATCTGTGTATGTACGTGCTTTTGTGTGTGTGTGAACATGTATAGAAATGAAAGAAAGACATTTCTGACCAATTTACAGAGGACGTTTGTGAGTTTGCTGGGTCAGATTTGATTGCAGCTTGTATTTTCAGCTCTAGCTCTACACCCATTTCCTGACTGAGGTGGCACTTTGTGAAAACAGATGGTAGGCAGTATTCTTTTAAGAAATGTGAAAGCAGATCCTTTCCGCTTAACACCTTGAAGCACTGAGTCTTCTGCACTGTGCTGAGAGAAACCGTGGGGTTTCATTTTCTCCATCTTAAAATCTCTATAAACACAGCTGTATTCAGTATGGTGAAAAATTCTATACTGTAAATAGAAATGTGATCAATCTAATCAAAATAAATGCATCCCAGATGACTTCTAGACCAGCTGGCTACCACAGTCATCAGATGGCTAAATCCTCAACTGAGCATTTGTATTCAGTGTTATACTTGCATCTTTCTATTTTTCCCTTTTTTTCTTAGATTTTCAAAATCAGCCTCTAATTGAAAAGCATTCTTCATATATTGACAAAAGCCAATGCTTTCACTTGGAACTTGATTTCTGTGAAATGCAGCTGGGTGTATTTTTTATTGTGGAATCTGCATGGGATGGTTTTAGGGCAGGTAGACTTGTCACAGTACAGGCATATTTCATTTGGTAGCTATTTCATTTGGCCATATCTGAACAATGCAGAAACAGGGAAAACAAACACTGCACTCAGCTAGCAGGGCTTGGCATGGATTCTAGCAGCTGCCTATCAAGAAAGACGGGGTTTTTTCCTTTCCTTTTTTCCCTTTTATACAAAGCCATAGACCATAATGTCATACTAAAATGTGTATGAGGGGATTTCCCAATAGTCATGGTGAGCTACCCTGCAAGACGCCCGTCTAGTCCTTCCACTGTTTGTTCCCCAGCCTACAAAGGCAGCCCTGTGTGTCGAGTTGTATTTAGCCAGCTGTTGGATAGCATTCTTGTGCTGGGGGCTAAGGAGTCTTATTACTCCCAAACTGTAGTTTTCTGTTTGCTTAAAGGAAAACAACTTTGGCAATACAGCAGGCTCAGCAAAGGTGTTTATGCCACTCCTATACCTTTCTGAATCTGTTGTGTGCTTCTAACTCAAGCAGTTTAAAGCAAGCAAGGAGGGAGGAGGAGAGACTCTCAACTTGCAGCTTCAAAGCTGCAGAGACGAGCAAAATGTCAGCAGCTTGTAATTAGGAGACCACGGTTACGTCAGTGACTGTATCTCTCCAGGAATTGCTATGAGATGTGCACCTGGTTAAAAAGCCTGGCTCAAACAAGAAAGAGCAAAATGGATTAATGAATCTGCTTTATTCCTAAGTCAGATGTGGATGGATTACATGCACAAGGTTTGCTGAATTCTGCAGCAGTGAAGACTGAATTATAGCACGCATTCACCAAAAGTGCAAATCCTTCAGGAAAAAATGCAGATGAGCAGTCTATCCTTGAAAATTTCTTTCCTAGCTCTGTCCTGTACAGGCAGCGGCATGACATGGAGGCATGCTCTGGAGGAAGAGACCGGCGAGCTGAACAAAGGTGTTTAAAAGGAAGGGTGCAATTAGACACAAAGCAAGCCTGCTGAAATTCTGTTCTGGCATTACAGATTTGATACTGAAATACCACCCCAGAGGAGACTGGCTGGGCTCTGGAGTGGTTTATATTAAGGCTTCTCTGGTTAAGAGCGAGGGGGGAGGAGAGGGTTTCCTGCAGCATCTTGCAGCCATGCAGAAGTCCCCAGGGCTGTGGGAAGCGGGAGGGATGGATGTGCTCTTAAAGGCACATGCCCAGATCCTGACAAGGGGCTTTCTGACCTCTGCAATTATTTTTAGGTCTGTGAAGGCAAGGCGGCAGTGCTTAAGCAGTGAGATTGCAGGGGATGTTTAATCTGCTGCGACTGGCCTTTCTCTGTGTCATGGCTGGCAGAGGTTTATAGGGCTTTTATCAACACCCCTCCACCACATCCAGCATGCATGTCTGCCACTGTTCCCAAAGACCAGTTACTGGAGGTCTGGTGTGGTTCCCTGCTCCATGCAGAAGTCACTTGCAGTTCAGCTCTGTTGTAGTTGCTCTTTAATTTACCAGGATAGGTAGATTGAATTATTCAGGCAGTGGGGGTGGGAGGTTTTTGGTTTGGATTTGGTTTGGTTTTTTTTTTTTTGGACTGTGAACACAAATTTGTAGGAGGAGGTGACTCTGTATATTAAACCAATAGCTCTTTGGATTGTGTGTAGTATAATTTAAATATACTTACTTTAATTAATAGAAGGTTACAAAAGCTGGCATTGTCTGGGGCTGTTTAATTTACATCTTAGGTTTAGTCAATGAGCATAACCTGCCCGATTAGAATAGTGTATTCTGCACAGCCAGCAGGGTGGAAGGCATTATTTTGTTTGTGTTAGTTCAAACAGCTGGTCATTAATGCAGGCCCCATCTCCAGAGTGAAGTGCCAGTGGACATGAATGGCTGCCTGATTAATGCTGCCCCTCGACGGGTCCTTCATCCAGCAGCGCTGCTCGCAGCAGAATAATGCGGCGGGATTTGATTGCGCTCTAACAGGGTACTGTGTCATTGTGTCACCGAGCCATCGGGGTTATTATGGGCTGGGGCAGACAGACGGGACACTGGGGTTACTAGACCGTGGCATTTTTAGAAATGCAGGGCTGACCTACTTAGAGTTATTCTTGCTGGCTGGCAGCTGCCTGGTGCGGGGCTCCCCCGGATAGGCTGCGGCTGTTGCTAGGGGGAATTAGCATGAATTTTTCCACATACAGACTCAGTGATTGAATGATAAAAGCTGACTGGAATTAAAGAGATTCGGTTCAGTATTATGCAGATTTATCTCCCTCATTTTTTTTTTTTCTCTCTGTCAAATGCATAAAAAGGAGCAGAAAACAGTTTGTTTCCATTTATTTTTGACCTATTTTTTTTTTTTTTTCCAGGAGAGGGCAGAAATGTTGTGAGGTCATAATTTAATATTTAGGCTGGTGAAATGATATGATAGTGGGCATGCATCTTTAATGTATGGAAGATTAAAATGCTGCCTCTCTGGAAGGGAATGAAATGAATATATTTTGTGTTCTGGTCAGGCTGCCACCTCTTTATATTTGAAGCCATGTCAGATTCTTTCATCTGGAAAGGGGAAACATATACCAGGTTTTATTGCATAGCATTACTCTTAGCTATTTTTAGCTATCTGTACTTCAAAAAATTAGTCCTATTTATGCTAGTGGATGAAATTAATCCCCAGGCTATGCCTTATGTACGTGGAGACAGATGCCCAGGGTAGCTGCAGTGTTGTGTGTCATGTTCAGCTGAAAAGGTGTTTACATAGTGCAGGCTTATCAGCCCTGCATACCTAGCTGAGTGCTGGTGCCTGACATGTAATCAGATCAATTAGAGAACTCTTCTGGATTTCAGAGTATTTTTGAGGCCCTGGTTTGAAGTTGGAATCTCTAGATGGCCTTCTTTTATTTATCTACATCTGCCTAAAACAGTGCTATCTTTTCTTAGAACTCTGTGCTCCCTTAGGAAGCAAATAAAAACAATACTCAGTGAAGAATCCTTTGATGTAATCATGAATATTTCCTTTGTTATTATCACTAATTATAGAAGATCTTTGTTTAAACCGCTATTTCCCTCTGTGTGATCTTTTGCCATGCAAAGAAGTTCCAATTTAGTACTCATAATTTTAAGTTAAATATTCATGGCAATGCATCATGACATCACACTTGAAGTGGGAATTTTCAAAATATGAGACAGTGGGGGGATGGGAGAGAAGGGCTCACATGCCTTTGGAATTGCAAAATAAATAATGGGACTCAGCTGAAAAGTAGTGAACTCATTTTTGTCTGAAACAGTTTAATTTCAAGTATTTGGATGAATAAGATACCTTTTGGAGGAGTGTGAATAGCTTGCACATCTGAGGTACCTTTTAGAGGAGTGTGAGCTGCCTGTGCATTTCTCTGGACAGCTAGCTGCTCCCCTGGACCAAGAACTGTCCTGCCTTGGCCCCTGGAATTTATTGGGAAGATATAAAAAAATGAAACAAGAAAAGCAGACATGAATTTGAATGTGTTTTGTGGCTAAGGCAAAGCATTAAGTTCTTACAGATTTGAATTTCCTGTCTTTTTCCTGGCATTGATTCATTGCTGAAACTTGCACCACTTCTCTGCTCCTTCCTGACAGTCTCATGGAGTGACAGATTTTTGGAGAAGTGAAAGTGAGGAGGGGCAATATTTGATGCCCAGTAATTGTGTTTGCCTTGTCTGTCCTTGGAGGTTAATCCAGAAAGTTGTGGTCCCACTTCCCTCAGCAATATTCTCTTGGTCAAAATCTGATGTCCTGCTCCACTTTCGTGTAGGATGCTGCAGGATGCTAAGGAGCAGACAGCCTTTGTCTACAGTTGTCTCTTGAGGCTGGTTGTAGCCAGTTGTAATTTCATCCAGTTCACCTGGAATATTAGCTGACTTGAGCTTCAGCAAATCAAAATAAGCATGCAATACCATACTAATGCAGTACCCCATTTTGTAGAAAAAAAAATTTGAGTGTTTGGCATATTCGTGCTAAAAAAGAGGGAGTTCAAAGAAAAGCAACGAACAAGATACAGCACATACTCTTGGAAAAGAGTTTTATCCTTGGTGTTTATCTGGATTTCATCACACTGATTGTTTATAACAAATATCATATCAGACAGTTTAACAAACCATCAAGTGACATATTAAATATAAAAAATATAGTGTGCCAGAAATTGTATTCAGTGAAAAGCTGCCCTGCTGAAAGTCTCTTCAATGAGAATTTTTCCAAACAATTGAATGTGTGAATGACGTGATCATAATACTTTGGGTAATTATGAGTAGCAGAAATTTGGAGTTAATGAAACAAACCAAAAATATGAGCTCTGTGTGTGTGTGTGTGTGTGTGTGTAATGCATAAGAAACAGGACGCCAGAGGAGTTTGAAATATGTCTGTGTTGAAAATATTGTCAATTGTGCACATTCTTTTGAAGAATCCCATGTTAATCACTTTCTGATGATCTCCTCTGAGGTTTCTATTCTTGCTACAACTTACACCTCCTACCTTGAAGTTTCTTACCTACAAAAGATTGTGCTGTATTTTTCAACATTCTTGTACTGTGACCTCTCCTGTGAGCTATGAAAGATCTATTATGCTGAGTTTCATGCTCTAGGGTGGCTAAGTGAATGCTGATTTACTGAGAGCATATGCAGGCAATATTTTTTTTTTCCCATCAAAATATCTAGAATCCTGCCACCATTTGCAGCTGTGAGGTGGTTGTACTGATGGATCTATTCCTGACATCAAAGTCTTGGCCAGTCATGGATTTGCTGAGCATTTTGTGATTTTATGGCAACTTTCTGTTTTTCTGAAAATGATCAGAGGACACAGGATATAGAGCAACTCATCTAGATTCCTATGCCACAAGGAGTGAGTTGACTCCCAGCCTTCACCTCCTGCAGGGCCATACAGATCTGTTCTTCTGTAGCAAATGTGTTTCAGTTCCAATTTCAAACCAAAAGTACAAGGAATTGTCTCATATTTCTTAAAAGACTGGCAGTTAGCACATTCCTTTTATAGCAATGCAGTAGGGAATACAAATGTTTAACAAAATAATCCTTACAAGATTTTTTTTTCTGTGATCCATTAACATGGGAACAAATTCTGTAACTAATGCTCCTGTAACAGCCAGAAGCAGCATTATTGTGGCTCCCACATTCCTGGTCAATTCCTACATCCATGCATGTGTGTGCCTGTGCACTGAGAATTGCTGCATACATGTAGTGTGTGGGTGTGAATACAAGATACAAGGATAACTTACATAAACACAGCCCTGATGCACATAGCATGCAACCACAGCTGTCTCAGTGTAGCACCAAAGCCTGTGCCTCTAGATATAAGATGCTGTTTTTTCTACCATGAAAAGTGGCTTGAGATGAAATGTAGGCAGTTCTGATGTGTAGCACCAGCCATTGTGTTAATTCTGTCATCTCATTCAACACCAGCAAAGACAAAAAAAATTGTCATGTTATTGTGTGATAGAAAGGCAAAAAGGGTAGTGTGGTGAAAAGTGGGGTGTACCTAGATAGCTGTGTTTCATAACCACTTGTGCCTTTTGTAAAATGAAATATATGATGGGCTGTTTAAGACAGAGAGACATATTTTAAATTATTGCTAATTCTTCCCTCCTGCTCTTAGGCCACACCTACTTCAAAAGTGAATCCAGACTCAGATCTTGACAGAGATCATGACCCTGTTGAATCCAATGGCTGTTTTATTCTGGAATTCGGTTGGGCCAGGCTTTCATCTCTTGTATTTTCCCCTGAACGTGTCTTTTTTTCTATACTCTTCCTCCAAAGTGTGGTGTTTCTGTTTCTACTTTTTTTCCCCCTCTGATCCTCTGAACATTCTTTGAAAGGTTACTTTTTTGTTGAGCAATTTACTATAAATTTGCTCTTGAGTAGGAAAAAATGTGGGGAAATATCACTTCCCTCCTGAGCTAGTAAAGTAGCCTTGCAGTGAGTCTCAATAATTATGTTTTTCTAAATACTCCTGCTTTCATCATAAAACGTCTTTAGTTTTTAATGAAAGGGAACAGGCAGTGAACAAAACAAATATGCCAAGGAGAATCTGGTCTCTTAACAGGCTGCAGAAACTTGGGTAATGAGACGGTTGGTGTCTTGACCTACAAAGCTAGGACTCTTAGAAATGTCGAGGGAGGCAGAAAGCAACAATTTCAAACAATAAATGCTTTCTAGCTCTCTAGCCACTTGTGCTGTTATCATCATTAAGGTTAACAGTGAATTCATTTATCTTTTTTTTTTTTTGACACTTTAGTGTTGCACAAAGAATACTCACACCAATATTCAAAGAAATTATTCATATGGAGGCAGGTATACCACAGCTATGTCAGTTATGTCTGGATTTGCCTTGTTTTTCTTTGTTATATACAGACACAGTAATTAGGCTCTTTTGAGGTCAAAATGGTTTTGATTTTTCAAAGTTGGAAACATTTGAAATAATGGCAGTTAGTAAAGGACTCTGGATTTTTGTGCAGTATTTTACCTGCAGAAAACATGCAGGATGGAGGAGATGGTGCATGGTGCTGCAGACTTGGTATGGTTACAATTGAAACAAATGGCTGGTGAATCTTCATGTAAATCTCCTGCTCATGACCTCTACAGATGGCAGTGTATTACAGATCTCA